AGGGCCGTCTTGAGGCCCTCTAGAGGCCCTCTTGGAGCATTGCCCGGGCCCTCCAGGGCCTTCCAGTGCGATCCGGAGGGCTTCAAGCGGGCTCAAGACGGTTCCAAGAGAGCTTTAAAGTTTGTCAATATATTTGAAATTTTGAGGCCCTCCTGAGGCTCTCTTGGAGCCCTCTTGAGGCCCTCCGAGATTGCATTGGAAGGCCTGGAGGGCCCCGAGAGGGCCCCCCCGAGGGCCCCCGACCAGGAAACCTCCGGGGGGGGGGTCGTCGCGGTAGCCTCCGGTTTGGGCGCCCCCTCGTCACGGAAGCCTCCGGTTTAGGTTGCGCCCGGGGCCCCCCCGAGCTCGTCGCGGAAGCCTCCGGTTTAGGCGCAAGTCGGGAAACAAGACAGACGGGCGGGGGTCCCGGGGGGGGTCGTCACGGAAGCCTCCGGTGTGGGGCGCGCCCAAATGATACCCTACCGTGACGAGCTCCGGGTCCACACATTCGAAATTTTCATTCGGGGATCCGCCCCGGGCGAGCCCCAAAAGACAGTCGCGCGGCCCCCGCAAGCCGCGCGAGTGCAGTTTGGGCCTCGCTGGGGGGCGGAGGGCAAGGTTTTGTCGCAGGTGCCGCGGGAGTCCAGACCGGCTGGTCTTTTCCGATCTTCTCCCCGTTACTCCGCCGCCATCCTCTCTTCCTTCCTTGCTCCTTCGTGTCTCTCCCTCCCTCGCCGTCCCCTCGCCACTCTTCCCTTGCTCTTCACTCTGGCCTCTCGCCATCTCCCTCTTTCCATTCTGTCCACTTCTCCGCTGTCCTCACAACATCCCCACCTTCTCTGTCTCTCCTCCTTGCCCTCTTTTCCTCCCCCCGCTTTCCTCGCTTTTCCTCGCCCCCTCCCTCCCTAGTGCCCCTTCCCTCCCATCCCTCCCCCCTCGCATTAGCTCCCCTCGCCCGCATCGCCCTTGCCCTCGTTTCTTCCTCTCCTTCCCTGCCTCCGACATTCCTTCCCTCCCCCGCCCCCCCCGTATCTCTCCTGCCTCCTCTAGCTCCTCGCCCGCGCCCCCCTCCCTGCATGCGTCTTTCGCCCTGTCTCCCTTCCCCCCCTTCTCTCCCCTCCCCCCTCCCCCCTCCATCCCCCCTCCCTCCCTTTGTTCCCTCGCCTGGCGACGCGCTGCGCAATGCACTCCGCCGCGAGGGCGAGCTGGGCCAGGGGTCGAGGAGGAGGGGGGCGGAGGAGGGGGAAGTTGAGAGAGGGTGGGGAGGGGGGGGACGAACGGGGGCGGCAGGGGAGGGAAGGAAATATAAAATATGTGGACGGGATATCAGGCGGAAATGGAGGGATGGGGGTTGCGCGTGCGGTTTGTGCGGCAGGTGCTGGCATGTTGCACCCACGCGTACTATTGGTTCCCAGTATTTGCAACTCATTGCCTCAATATGTGCAACGTACTGCGTTGCGTCTGTGGGGATGCGTGGCCAATGCCTTGAAACGTCCGCATTCTTTCATGGGGCGCGTGAGCCTGGTCGTGCAGCACGTGCGTACTCATGCGCCTGGCTCGGCACCAGAGCCATACTTGCCAACACAGACATGGGCGCTCTGTGATAGAGCCAAGTGTGGATCCTATGATATGTCTGTTTGTGCACTTTCGAGGCTCCTGATATGTAGCGGGCACGCGTTGTCAAAACCCCTCCACAGGAGGACCGTCTCTTTGGGCCATCATTGGCTCGATTCGCCATCCCTGCAGGCATATGCGTACGTCAGGGTGGGTGACGTTTCACTTGCTCGTCCATATACAAAAGGCGTGGTGTTCCTTTGTCAAATTCCCGAAGTAGCGAAACGATTTATTTGTAATTCTGGTGGCGTGAGTGTGCCGATCACTTTTGAGAAATCGTTCAAGGTTTGCCAGGTATGTTGTAAGACTGTTCAAACCCTGGCGGTCGTACTTCACCGCGCGCAAAGCATGCGACTGCTTCGTTGGGATATGTTCGTTTTGGGGTTGGTTGCGTTTTTTCCTAGCCGCCCAGGTTCAGTGCGCGTTTCGGCTCACCGACATCGCGTGCGCACCTTGGAGCTCTGATTCGCATTAAGAAAGAGTTGCGCTACGCAGCGCAGGGCCGAGGCATGATATTTTGAATGATAAACGCCCGTGCCAGCGCAGACGCGTCGCTCTGGCCGGCCACCGTTGGTCACGCCATTCGAAGGCAGCGCGTGGATTTCATGCGCCGTTGACGTCCCCCGATGACTGTCCTTGGGCCGTGCTCCTTATCTTGCGTCGTTCTTTCTGCCGGCCCGTCGTCGCGACTTCTGCCCGCGCCGGCGCTTTCGTTTATGTTCGTCCCCGAAGCGCTTGACTGGTGCAGTGGTTTCCAAAACGTCTCGATTTAGTTGTCTCTCCGCATGCCCCTGGGGCCGCGACCCGGTCTTGCGAGAGCGACGCTCTCAGGAAGGATCTCATTCGCTCCCTGTGTTTGCGCACTTCCGCCTTCTTTGAAAAAAGGGCATGGTTTGGTAGGGGTCGGTTTGGCCGCGCCCGATGGACGCGGTGGCGGCCACCGAGCTGCGCGCCGAGCTGGACGTCCACCGCCAGACCAGCATGCTCCAAGCAGGCGGCCCTGGGAGCGGCAGCTTCTGGAGCACCGTTCCAGACCGCCCCGCCCTCCGCATGGCAAACTCGCAGTGGGCAGTGTCGACGAAGTGCCGCCTAGGCATTTGCAGGGCGCCACAGGCTGGCCTGACCTGCGCGGTACAGAACAGAGGGGATGATGAGCCTTGCGGCGCGCCGCTCGATTCCAACTTGCATCGCCCCACTGTCTGTCGCGCGGGCGCGGGCCGACTGAGAAGCCACACTGCCGCGGTGGCGGTGCTCATGAAGCACTTGCGGGCGACTGGCGGGTTTGTGGCGCTGGAGGCAGCAATCCCGGAGTTGTACCGCATCGACGACGACGGCGTGGTGCACGAGCGCTTCATGGACCTGGTGGTCTGGTGGCCAGGCGGCAGCCGCCGGTACCTGCTGGACGTGACCATCAGGTCGCCGTTCGCCGCGGGGTTGCCCACCCCGCATCTGCTGCCCGGCGCGGCGGCGCGAGAGGGCGAGAAGGACGAGACGCGGCACCATGGGGTGGTCGCGCTGCCGTTCGCGATGGAGCCCGGGGGCCGCCTTGGCCAAGCGGCCTTGCAGGCGCTGGCGACTTTGCACCGTGAGAGTGCAGAGTTCGGGCGCCTCCGCCCGGCGCCTTGGCCCTCGGCCGCTTGCGCGCTGACCTGGAGGCGGAGGTGGCGCGCCACGCCGCCCAGACGCAGCTGGCCGCGCTGGGGGGCATGTCGCTCCGGGCGCTGGGCTGGGCCACCGGCGCGCAGCAGTGGCGGCGGAACGACGCGCACGGCAACGGAGAGGAGGGGTTAGCAAGCTTAGCATGTGTAGGTGGTGGGACGGACTGTGGATGTGCCCGAGGATCAGATGGAGGACGAGTAAGGACAGGGAGGAAGAGGAGGAGGAGGAGAAGGAGGAGGAGTAGGACGAAGACTCAAGTTTGCCAGGGCGAGCGAGTCAGAGGGCCCCGCCTACTTCCACCCTCCCTGCCACAAAATGAGAATCACTCGTGGCACAACTTGATTTTGGGATTGGAGCGCGCTCCCGCCTCGCAAACTGAAGGCACTCGCGCGCGGCCTCGCTTCCGGCGACTTGGCGATTTTGAAAACAACACAGGCGCGCAGGGCTGGGAGCGGCGAGCCTCCAAGGGGCGCGGCGAAGACGAAGCATGCGCCGCGCTTTGTTAACTTCACTCACAAATTTTGCGGTGCTTGGGCGAGGTCGACATTGCGCCCGCTCTCGCGCGGCCCCGTTGCCGCTGTCGGTCGAAATGCGCACGCAGCTTGGGCGAGGGCGACAAGCCGCTACTCGCGCGGACCTCCCCATCATTGGCGAGTGAAGCATATGAGCCGAGTCGAGGCAGGACGGCCTCTTGCACTCGAGATCTGCGCGGCGCCGCGGCCAAACCGACAGTTTGGTCCGCCCGCGCGTCGACGAAAAATCCGTGTGACAAGTGTTCGCCGCGCCCAAGGGCGGCGCCGAGGCGAGAGCGACACTTCGGCCTTGCGCGCGGGATGTGCGCCCTGTCCCGCTCCTGCCACGTATTCTGCAACATTGACAACGTAATGTCAAAGTTGGAACGATAATCATACATGGTGCTTTCCCTTTGTCCTATAGGATTGGACCCCCATTGGATTGGGTTGCGATCGGCCAACAGAGCTGGAGTTCCTTCCAACAGGGTAGAAAGAGGAGGAGGAGGACGAGGCAGGAGTTGGAGGAGGAGGAAAGAGGAGGACATGAAGGAGGCAGGAAGAGGGGGTCCCCGCCGAGGTTCCCTGTAGGCCCGGGCCGTCCAGGAACGCGCGCCGGCGCGGGCATCGCCGAGGACCGGCCAGCCGCGACTTCTGCGCGGCGCGCGGGGGCGCCCTCTGCTCGGCCAGGGCCGCCCCTTGTTGGCCGACGCTGGCGCCGACGACGACGAGGCCGATGCAGACATCGACGACGCCGACGACGAGGCCGACGCCGATGACGCCGACGAGGAGGCTGAAGCTGAGGCCGTCGACGCGGACGCTGACGTCGCCCTCCTCGCCCCTTGTTGGCTCGAGGGTTTTTCAGTCATGCGGTCCATAGCAGGATGCCGATATAAATGCTCACGGGAGGCTCCCGAGAGGTTCTCGAGAGGCCAGAGGGACGAAGACCCACCATGAGTTCTCTCTCACCAGGGGCACTGTCAGTGGGGCTAGGCTTACGGGCGGGGAAGCGTTGAGCCTGAACCAGCAATACGTCGCCCATGGTTCGGCGATGGGCCCCCAACAGCGAATCCGAATATTACAAGGAAGGGTGGGCTATGAGGCCCTACCCTGTCTGCGATGTATCGCCGATTCGAGCACGATGCTTCCCCCCTGAGCCCGTCCCCGCCCTGACGTTGCCCCTCATCCCCGCCTCTTTCACGTTCTCTCCCTGCGCCCGCGCCGCACCCCCGCGCCGGCTGGCTCGAGCGAGCGTAGCCAGTCGGCTCCAGAGCATTTCGGTGGCCCCCCTCAGCGGCCACTCCAGCACGCGAGCCTCGTTCGGCCTCTTTCCGAGCGCTTTCGTCGCACACCAGGAGCGGGGGGAAGCGGGGAGCGGATGGGGGGGGGAATCATAGGCGCCTCGTTTTCGCCTCTTCGGGCCTCCGGAGAGGCCCTCGTCGCCACGTCTGGATTCGCTGGGAGAGGTCCAGGTTAGCAGCGGTATTCTTGCATGTTTGTTGCCCCAAGAGAGGGGCAAGATGAAGATGAGGAGAAGAAGGGAGGTGAGGAGGAGCCATGGTGCAGGGCGGAAGGGAGGAGGGGGAGGACCAGAGTAAACCCAAGATGTATCAACGATGCTGCTGTACGCGAAAGTACGGACATGCTGTATGCCATTCAAGCGAGAGCCCCGTTTTGAAAAGTGATTGGCTTGCGACCTTCTCGAGACTGATGGGGACTGCGTCAAGGTAGCATCTGGAATATCAGCAGGACGGCCAGCGCGAGCCCCACTTTGAGATCTTTGAAAGGCACCGCCCTGCATCCGTGCAGTTGGTGTACGTGCTCACTTTCTACCACATTCGTTGAGGAAGTTTCAGGCGAGAACCCTCTTCTGAGAACAGTCTGGCCTCCAGCTGTGTAACTGATGCAAGCCTTTGAGACAACTGTGCGCGGCATTACGGCGAGAGTCTCATTTTGAAAATAACCCGGCCGCGGCCTCAATCCGCATGACGACTGCAGGTTTTTCGGACGAATGTGCGCGGCGCTAAGGCGAGAGCCCCATTTGGAAAAGGAGTGTCCTTCCATCCGTGTACCCATCGTTCTGTGAAAGTATGTATTTCTGCTGCCCCAGATTCCCAAATCATGTAGGCGATTTCCGATTTAGATGATCGAGCATTGTTTGGTTTCCTTTCCTTTTCAGGGAGCGGAGCGGGCGGACATCACATATAATTCCATCACCTTCCTACCATTTCTTGTTTCGACACGCTTCTTCCGAACGATGGGTATTCGTTGGCAGTTTCCTCGGGATCGTAAGCTGTAAACTGCAAGGAGGTCTCAAGCGAAACGCATGCCCCAGCCTACGGATACGCCTAGCGGTGCGACAGGGAGGAACGATTTGCAAAAGGAAGGAGGAAACGGAGCGGTCTGGGCTCGAGCCCTTTGCGTCTCAGGGCTTGCTGGAGAGAGTATTCTGGCGCCTTGCTCGCCCCTCCAGGCGGGCCCTTCGCGGCTCGTTTCGGACAACATTGCGATTCTATGTTCCAGTCCACAGCCTATACCGCGAGGGCGAGATACTCTGCGTGTGTGGCCTGTCGTGCAGCGGAGCGTCAGCCGCAGCCAGGGAACACCGTGCCGCCCTAAGGGAGGTGGCTGTCACTGCGCGAAGAAGCGTTTTCCATCCTGGGGTGGTCGGCAAGCCCCTTCATTCGGCGGCCATGGGTAGTCCAAGGAGAAAGGGAGCACTAGCAGCAGCAGCAGCAGCAGCAGCAGCAGCTTGCACACGGCCACCGGGCCGCCTTTGCCCGATGAGGAACGGCTACTCGTAAATGTGATCCCTCGTCGGAGTGACCTTTGGTGTGCGGCTTTGGGTGGGCCAAGTCCAGGCACGCAAGCCGCGCACCAAAGGTCATTCTCGCGTAGCCGAGAGGATTGGTGCGTCTAGATCAGAAGGGACGAGCCCGCTTGGAGCGTTGTGGCTGTCAGTCTGTGTAAGAGCCGGCGTAACGGTACCCAGCCACATGCGTCGGGGCTCCGTGTTGTTGGGATGGGCTCTTGCCTGCGAGACCGGCGGCCACCACGGGACAACCATGGTGCTCAAGGAAAGGTTCTTGGTCTTCGGTAGAAGCAGCGGCGGCGCATGGCACAACATGGCAACGGCTGAGAAGGCCGCCGAAGCCGTTGGAGGGGCGCAACACAAAACAAGAAGGCCACGCCGCAGCTCGATGCAGCCAAGGCGGACGCTCTCAAAAGGGCCACTCGTGCCAACCGTTCAAAACAACTCGATCCTCAAGAGGAGGAGGGGGAGGGGGAGGAGCAGGAGGAGGAGAAGGAGGAGGAGAAAGATGAGGAGGAGGAGGAGGCGGAGGAAGAGGAGGATCAGGAGGGGCACCCCCGTCCCCAAGCCAAGGTACAGCGACAGTACCAGCACAAAATGCAGCCTGTATGCTACTGCCCCTCTCTCTTCCCCTCCCCCTTTCCTCCTCCCTCCTCTTCTCTCCTCCCTGCTCCCCCTCTCCGAGGCCCCCGAGACACGGGCCCTCCGTTGGCCGCGAACAATTCGAAGCTCCTGCTGGGGACGGCGCAACTCGCGCGCGCGCGGTCGGGGGGCGCCAGAGGCTTTGCAAAGCAAGCGTACAGAAGTCGCGAACATGAGACGTCGGATCTCCCCCTATCGGTTGAGGTGTTTTTTTTGCCAGGCACCAGCAGGTTCCAGTTTGTTTGGTTCTCCGCCCACTCGATCTCTGATGGCATGCCGTTTCCCAAGTTGTTTTATTCGAGCGTTGGGTTGGATTTTTTGGGGCTGTTTTCTCCGTGAACCTCAGCTCCGTATCCAATTGCTTTTTGTCAGTCTGTCTCTTCTGAAGGATTTGCTAAGGCCATGGCAGGGGAACTTGCCCACGAGAACTAGTTTCTTAAGTTCTTGGCCTGGGCTGCGCAGCGTGTGCGGCAGAACCCGAAGTGGATTTGGTGATCAGGATCAAGTTCGTGTCTCCCTCCAGCCCCCTCGTTCCCCCACCTTGTCGGTCATCAGCCACGTTGTGTAGCACAGTTTCCGATCATAACGAAAGGAGGTGCCGTGATTGTGGCCGTTGTGTTCGCATGTTAGGTTCGCCCAAGGCCATGTTAACCTAGCGCTCCACCAGGCGATGGTTACCCCTCCCACTCAGAGGGTTGCCACTCATGCTCGGTTCCGCGCCCGTGATAAGTCCTAGATGCTGTATCGAAGCGAAGCTGTGCAGGTTGTTTTTGAGGCCGGAGAACGGCTTACTCATGGGGGAGGTCTAAGGGTCCGAGAAGGTCCGTGTTCTCCCGAGTTACGAGGCCCAAGGGCCTCAGCGTTTCCTCGAGTTTGAAGAGCTGGGGCATGCTATGTTCCGCCATTGCGAGCATGTCTGCTGTCGCAGCTGTGGAGGGCATGGCGCGTCTGATTCCCTCGCCGAACTAGCCGCCAGATGCGGGGGTTTTGCCAAGCACTCCTCCGCTCGGGCCAACCAAAGGATGGCTGTGCGCAGGCTGGAGAGTTTGAAGCGCCCCAAGACGGGTGCGACACTCGTGTCATTGCCTGTCGTCGTCTTCTCCCGCCCGCACACTTCTGCGACGCGGAGGCTTTGGCGTTGCGGAGCTAGGCTCCGCGGACGGCGGACTTGACGGGCAGGTCGGATGGCCCCCCTTTTGTTGCTGGTGCTCCTCCCTCTTTTGGAGGCAGACCACAAGCCCTCTCCAAACTGGACCACCAGCTCGAGACTTGCCTCTTGCCAGTGGCGCGACGGCCCGCGCGGTCTCCTCCTCCGTGTTTTTTTCCCTCTCCTCCTCGTTCCTCCTATCTCCCATCGTTCTTCCTATTGCCTCATGGTCCCCCCCTTTCCCCCCTACCATCTTCTCCTCCATTCTCCTCCTCTCCCCCCCGCGCGCGGCGAGGAGAGGAGGAGGGCTTGCGCGGGAGTGCAGAGGAGGATGGCGGAGCAAAGGGAGGTGGGGGATAAGAAAGGGGAGGAGGGGCAGGAGGGGGAGGGGGAGAGGAAGATGAGGCGGAGGAGAGGGATGAAGATGAAGATGATGATGATGATGCTGATGATGATGATGATGATGATGTGATGATGATGATGATGATGATGATGATGATGATGATGATGGTGGTGGTGGTGGTGGTGGTGCAGGTGGTGGTGGAGGTGGTTGTGGTGGTGGTGATGATGAAGATGATGCTGATGATGATGGTGGTGGTGGTGGTGATGATGATGCTGATGATAATGATGCTGATAATGCTGCAGATGCTGATGCTGATGCTGATGATGATGATGATGATGATGGTGATGGTGATGGTGATGGTGATGGTGATGGTGATGATGATGATGAACAGAAGGAGGAGGAAGAACAGGATGAGGAAGAAAAGGGTGAGGAGGAGGGTGAGGAGGAGGAAGGGGAACGGGAAGGGGCGGGGAGGAGGAGGAGGAGGAGGAGGAGGAGGAGGAGGAGGAGGAGATGGGGACAACGACGTTTTGTTTCAGTCTTTGCGTGGGGTATTGGGGAGGACAATTGGCAAGAGGGCCACGCCCGTGGACAAAAGCCTTGGACACATTCATTTCCTGGGCCAAGGTGTGGCGGGGCATCGGCTGCGGCATGATGCTGACCACACTGGCTTACCGCACCTACATCTTTTCCGTGCTCTCCTTCCTCCTGCAGCTGGACCATTTGCCGTCCAATCGGGACGTAGTGGAACACCAGGCGTACGTCCTCTTCTTCCCCGGCCCCCGCTACTGGACAACCCCGGCGGTGCTCCGGAGCTTGCGGTCCTTGGGGTTTTCAGTGGAATTGGTCGACGCAGCATCCGTGGCGATCGCGGCTAAGTGCGGGTACCTCGATGGGAGAACACAGCTCATGGAGGGCTTCAGTACGTCGTCAGTTTCGGTTTTTGGACGCACTCCGATTGGCTTCTGACCATTTAGGTCGCTTGGTTGCCGGGACCTGCTGGTACGGCCAGAATTTCTTCACGAACCTCACCGACGCGCGCGGCCATCTTGAACACAGGGCAGCAGCAAACAGGGTGTCTGTCGGTCGAGGCTTTGGTTCAGGGCGACGCGCCAGAACCAGCGCCGAGGTCTGAATGGCAGAGACGGTATCGGATTCTACTGGCGGCCCCGCGCCCGCAGGGCGCTTTAAGTCACCTCGGTCGCTGCCTTTTCTCGCGTCCAACTCCCGGTGTTCCGAGGGCGCCGCCTGGAACGCGCGACGCTCGCGCTCCGCGGCCTGGCGCCGCTGGTGCCCCTGCGGGTGTGGGCATCGGTTTACCGCGGCATGTGCAACGGCTGGACTGCAGGGCGCCGCGCGCAGACGCAGGCGCCCCGCGCGTTCGCATGCGGACACGGGGGGGCAGCGTCGA